ACGAGGACAGGCGGAAAAGGAGGCTTGGCGGCGTGCATCAGCAACCCTTCGACCATCCTCAGCGTGGTCCGAATGCGAAAGAGAGACCGAAGCTCAGGAACGGAGTCAAGCTCGATGGAAGTCGGTAGCTGGGTCTTAGGATCAGAAATGTACCTGATCATCCTGCTGATAGCTGGGTCCCGGGATTTAAGACTGACAAGATCGTTACCCGAAAAGGCAGTCCGAACGGACACCGCACCTTTGGTTGGTTCTGAGGTGGACGCGTTAGCGGCCTGAGCTCGAGTCACAACACGCACGTGGGGTTGACCAGGTAGAGGCTACACCAGTCCACTAAGCCACATGGGGTTGAAAGCCTATGGAGTACCATTGGCCGCGCCCCGTTTGGCCAAAGAGTCTGCGAGATCGTTCACCTCCTTTTCTGGACCGGGTGCGCGAGAGTGTCCTTTGATTTTACGCCAGTAAACGTGCATGTCAAGTGCAGTCACCAGAATGTCACATGCCCTGAAGAATTCCTGATGTTTGACGGGCTTCCAGTTAGCGGTCTGGAACCCGTTACTCTTCCAAGACGGTAGATGACATATGAAACTGAGACGCGTGTAGTCCGAGTCAGTGCAAATCACCAGTTCACGGAAGCCACGGTCCCTAGCGTGGCGTAGCACAATCAAGATCCCTGCTACTTCAGCAAACTGTGAGGTTTTTTCACCCAGAGAGTAACATTGGGATTCCCTCTGATTAGCGTCTACCCATACGACACCTACGCCCGCTCTATGCGCAGGACCGTGCCGAAAAGCACTGCCATCTACGTACACGGTCGGCAAATCCGCACAGAACGACTGGTCGAAGTAGTGGTGGTTGTGGTTTAGAAGAGTCTGAGGAGGGCTGGCTGGCGGGACTGACGCGATGGCGTCGTCCGAGCAATGATGGCACGCAGCCAAACCCATGCCAAGAGGGCTACGTCGGTTCTGGGCGTAGTGCACCTCAATGTCGAAGCTTTGAAGAGCCAGCAGCCATGACGCGATCCGCAAATTGGTCACCACACCATCTCTGATACGCTGACTGTTAAGGAAGGTCACCGGCTGGTGCTGTGTCTCAATGATGATTTTCTGGCCGCCAATGTAGTTCGCAAAGTACTTAACTGCCCACATGGTGGAAAGCAAAGCCTTTTCACAGTCTGAGTACTTCAACTCAGGCCCAGACAAGAGCTTACTAGCATAGGATACCACACGCCTGTCGCAGTCATGAACTTGGCAGAGACCAGCACTCAAGGTGGAACTCCTTGTCACAATCGGGGAGCGCCAAGCACGGAGCCGAGCACAACGTGGCCTTTAGGTCATCCATGGCCTGTTGGTGCTGCTCTGTCCACTCGAATGTCACCTCCTTCTTCAGTAGATTAGTCAGAGGTCGTGCTATCTTAGCATAATGTTCTACAAACTGACGCGAGTAGTTACAGACCCCAAGAAGCTCTGAAGTTCGGAGACGTTTGTCGGAGGTGTGATGGTGGCCACGCCCTGAATTCTGCCAAGTTGAGGCTGCACTCCTTGTGGTCCCACCAGGAGGCCAACGTACTGAACTTGCGAGTTGCACCACTGTCCTTTGGCGAGAGAGATCTTTGCACCTGCCGCCGCGAGCTCACCCATGACATGGTCCAGCTCGGACAGGTGGTCATCTAATGTACGCTTGCGAATAAGAATGTCGTCGACATAGATGAGGGCCCCCCGCTCTCGAGCATCGGGGCAGGCTTTGTTCAGGAAGATGTTGAACTCAGCAGGTGAGTTGGAATAACCAAAAGGACACCGGGTGAAGGTGTACTGCCGGTTGGCAAAGGAGAAGGCAAGTTTGTGTTGGTCCGATTCGTGGACGGGAATCGTCCAAAATCCGGACGCAATATCAAGTGTGGAAAAGTACTTAGCATCTTTCACTCTTGGAAGCTCCTGCTCCAGGCGTGCCATGGGCAACCTAGACAAGGGAACCTGTCTGTTGAGTTGCCGGTAGTCAATGGTTAGTCGCCACTTACCATTACCCCCAAATTCCACTACCCGCCTTCCGCAGCCGCTCGCTTCCGAACTCAATTTTTACTGGTACCCGCTCTACAACGGCTCCGCTCCGGTGCGGAGACCTGAGGGGGGCAAACAAGCATGCGCGGGATTTTCGAGATCTTGCGATACAGTCCGAGCAGTAAACGCGGAAGTTAGATCCAAACACCCGTTGTGTGGGAGAAACATCGGCATGAGCTGTTTAATCTGCCCATCATTTGTGTTGACAGATCAGCAGTGTTTGGATCAACAAAGTGTGACTACTTTGATAGTAGAAACTGTATTTATGGCTTACTTTTGTGCATTTAAACTTCAGCCGCCATTGATAGTTGTTAAAAGTTGTTAAACCTGTGCATATGAAACAAAAAACGCCTTTTGTTTATCGATTTATTGTGAAAAACGGAAATTGTGCTTGCTCCTTTTCCTGTTGGGCCGTTGTGATTTCAGTCCATTTACTGCGGAGGTGCTCCGGCGTCCAGCGAAAATAGGATTGATTCTATTTTTGCCGGACGCCGGAACAGAGGGCGGCGCACTGCGCCGCACTGCCGGAGCACGGCCGCAGTAGTGGAATTGCTCTGATTGACTACAACGGGACCGATTTTGCTCTGGCGTTCGTGTCGGAGCGGAGCGGAGGTAGTGGAATTTGGGGGTTAGGCTTCTTTACCGGCCACAAAGGAGCCGAGTAGGTGCTGTTGCAGGGTCGAATGATCCCTTTAGCCAAGAGGCTGTCAATGATTTCCTGGACTGGTCCTTGGGACGCCAGGGGAATCTTGTATTGCCGCACAAAGGTCGGCGGTGCATCTGGCCGTGTAGGAATCCAGACTTCATGGATAGTGGTTAGACCACAGTCCAAGGAGACAAGTGAAAGAAAATCCTTGTACTTTAGCAAAAGTTGTCGTAGTTTGGCTCGCTAGACCTCGTTGGTGAGAGCATCCGCTTGGTCTATGACTTTCTCAATCTGGGACAGAACTTCAGGGGGCTTTCCCGGTGGCTTTGAGCGTGGCGGTGAGCCCGTAGTCGCGCCCCCTTCCTGAAGACTTGCCACAGAACAGTGGAAGTCTGCGTCAGGCGGCGGATTGTACGGTTTAGGCTTTCTCACACATGCAAACAGTTGTCCGGATTCGTAGCCGATGAAAGAGTCAAGGCGCTGGAGACAGTCCTTACCTATGATCATGTGCATGGTCATAGCCTCACTGATGTACACGGGGTGTTTCAAGATCATGGGCCCTATCGAGATCTGGATCTCAGTTTTCGAAGACAAGTTTGCTGGAATGCCATTGAAATCATTGACAGTTAACGAGCACGGAATGAGTGTGGGGGGGGGGGGGGGGGGGGAGGCCCTCCCCCCTTTTGTCGCACATGCCGTTGTAAAAACCTTTGCTCATGATCGTAATGTCCGAACCCGTGTCTAGTAACGCGACACAGCGATGTCCCTGATGTACAGTGACCTCTACTGTGGGTCTACTAGTCCCCTCCTTCACGTCGAAAGATGCGAGCAATATTTTGTCAGCTACGGCGATAGCGGTACCTGGGCCATCGTCCATGGGTGCATCGTTTAACATCGCCACGGATGGAACGATCGGCGAGGTGTTGTTGTTTTCCTGTGAGTCAGAACCTTTCAAAACACCAGCCTGCAGCATCCTCGTCTCATTTGGCGGCTTCTCGGCCAAACACGGGTTCGCTGCCCGTGCCGCCTGAAAATCACGCACAAAATGTTTGACGTCCTCAACGTCCTGCTGAAGAGTGCAGAACATGTTCATCATGGTCTTTATCTCAGTCATCATCGGTAGGAAAGCGCTTTGCATCGCAGCCTGAAGTTGTGATGGTAATTGCATTGTTTCCTCTGTGCCCATCTTCCAATTAGTAATGAGTTCTTTAATTTACTAATCTTACCCAGAAACAACCTTATCTGTAGACTTATTAAAGAATTAGTTACAGGGAAGCTTGGCTTTAGAATGAATATTTGGGGCAAAATTGTTTAGTAATGCCAAAAATATCACTCCCTTTTGACCTACCCAAGATGGCCGGTCGAGCTACGTGTTGGGTCACGTGTGCCCTGATCCACAGCAGCGAAAAGCATCAGGCACAAATAAGACAGAAAACATAAAAGGAAATGAGCCGACATGAACGATCGCGTGTTAAATTTGTTTTTGAGGTGGCGACACCTGATTTGATAATGTTACTGTGGCCGTGCTCAGGATGCAGATGTCTGGAGCGTGTCAACGATCAGAGCTTTGCATGCGCAAGCTGGTTAAGGTTAGGATGGGGGTGAGGGGAAGGTTAAATTGCAAGATGGTAAACGTCACAATTTGGTTAAATGTCCGTTTTACGGCGGGTGTCAGTACCGACGCTCTGGCAGGAGCTTGTCACCTGCTGACAGCAGGCCGCTGTCTTTTCCGAGGACTGCAGCTTGCCGGTCATTATCATGTGTCAGCGACTAGTCGATGGCAGGCATAAAAAGTCACTATAGAGCGGTGAAGTCGACTAGTGACTAGTTCATACAACCCCTACTGCTCCCCAGAGTGTTCTGCCGCATAATCAACACATTCTCTTTGAACTTGATATCAAATTTTCTCCTTCTCTTCGTCTCCGCACGGTTAGTTACCCTCGTGGTCTCACTGGCGAATCAAAAGTGAGATGAATGACACAACCACCCCCCGTACCTGCTTGTTACCACATTCCACCCGGCCACAATAAAAAAAAAGGGCCATTATTCACCTCCGCCGACTCCGGCCAAAGTGTGATACCCGGCCGTTAATTGAATATAGGCCAATATTAGAGGATTTACGGTATTTCAAATAAGTTTGCACTACCTGAAAAAACGTTAAAAGTTCATTGTACATATTCTGGTTAATAACTGTTGCACAAAAGTCAGATTTTTGAGAAAACCAGATTTATACTTTTGCTAGCTGTGAATCAGAGTTTCCAATTGTATTTGGATGCCAAAAAATATGGATAACATAGGTATTAATTTTTGATCAGGTTTATTTGCATGACAGATAATTACACGAGTGGATTAATCTGCTGACTTTGATGGCGAGCCATCTCACTTTGCAGAAAATCAGCATTTACGTTTAAACTCCAGAAACAGCGAACAACAAACTGAATAGTGAACAAAGAGATTAAATAAAACTCTTTAGTGGCAAACAAACATTTCATTTTCAACCTTTTCTTCTCCAAAAACAAAACATTTAATAAAATTGCTGCCTTTCATTTCAGTTAAAAGAGCTTCCAGATCAGTAGCACATTTCATTCAACACCCTTAGAAGTCACAAAATATATATTTTAATAATGTAAATTAATTCTGTCCTGTGTGGACTCTCGTGTGAAAGTTTAAACTTCTCTTTTGAGCAAATCTTTGTCCGCAGAGCTCACAAGCAAAAGGCTTCTGTCCTGTATGGACTCTCATGTGAGTGTCTAAATTTCCCTTTTGGGTAAATCTTTGTCCACAGAGCTCACAAGCAAAAGGCTTCTGTCCTGTATGGACTCTCATGTGAGTGTTTAAATGTGTCTTTCGACTAAATCTTTGTCCACAGAGCTCACAAGTAAAAGGCTTCTCTCCTGTGTGAACTCTCATGTGTTTGTTTAAACTTGACTTATCACTAAATCTTTGTCCACAGAGCTCACAAGGAAAAGGCTTCTGTCCTGTGTGAATTCTCATGTGACTGTTTAAACTTGACTTTAGACTAAACCTTTGTCCACAGAGCTCACAAGCAAAAGGCTTCTGTCCTGTATGGACTCTCGTGTGTCTGTCTAAATTTCCCTTGAGTGTGAATCTTTGTCCACAGAGCTCACAAGCAAAAGGCTTCTGTCCTGTATGGACTCTCATGTGTCTGTCTAAATTTCCCTTGAGTGCGAATCTTTGTCCACAGAGCTCACAAGTAAAATGCTTCTCGCCTGTGTGGACTCTCATGTGAATGTTTAAACTAGACTTTACACTAAACCTTTGTCCACAGAACTCACAAGCAAAAGGCTTCTGTCCTGTGTGAACTCTCATGTGAATGTTTAAATGTGACATGCAGCTGAAACTTTTTCCACAGTCATCACAACTAAATGATTTTAGTTTTGTCTGAACTTTTCTGCTAGCGTCTACATTTTGCTTCACTCTAACACGTTTATCAACACAACAGCTTGAAGACTTCAGTCCTGAATGACTTGTCACTCTCATGTGTTTCTGGAGAGACCGCTCATGGAGAAACTGTTCACCACACTCTGGGCAGCTGAAAGATTTGACAGCCTTAACATGTGATTTAGAAGACCTGCTCTCCTTCCAGTCTTTGTTATCATCTTTGGTGTTTGGCTCAGAATCTGACAAGAGTTTCAGCTGACAGTCAGAATTGTTGCCATCCTGGTCATCATCTTCATCATTGCTGACTTCAGTCTCTGAAGAGTTAGAATCATATCCATAAAGATTTAGATCTGGATTCCTAGTAGTTTCTTCTCCTCCACAGTCCTCTCTACCACTTTCTGCTTTCATCTGGTCAGTGGTGCTGCTGGTTGGAAGATCTCTGTCTTTAGGTTGGTTCTGATCAAACTGTGACAACAGAACTTCTCTTCCTTCTTCCTTAACCTGATGAGAAACTGCAGAGAATGAAATGTTGGTGGCATCAGCTTTAATCTCATCAAGCTGCTCCTCCTCTTCCTGCTTCATGTTGAGGGGCTCCATGTCCTTCTGGTTCAAAGGAGGCCTCAGTTCTTCAGGAGCTCTTCCTTCTTCCTTAAACTGACACAAAACTGCAGAGAATTAATTATCACAGTTTAAAATGAATTAAAATATAACAAAACTTTAAAATGTATTTTACTTTGAAAAACCAGTGCTGCCGTTTTTCCCCGTGTGCGAAGGAGCGGGCTTCTGTGCGGTGCGCTGCTCTCACGAGTTAAAGAAAACTACAGGGAGAGAAAAGGTGGAAGAAAGGAACCTTACGTTAGAAGAAGGCATTTTTAGTTCAGACCTGTGAAAACCAGCTTCATGTTAACGCACGCTGCTACATGTGAACAGTAACGTAGTCAATGTTGTTAGGTATTTTTATTAAATGTTCATTTTGCTTGGTCTGTGAATCTTCCTTTGTGTGGGGGTGATGGGTCTCTGTACCTCTGTAACCCGAGAAGGCCCCGCCTTCTCCATCCTTTGCTGATTAAAGCCACTGGAAACTCTGAAGAAAGGGGGAGTCGCGTGGCATCTAGCTCTGGAGAGGGTTAGTGTCATTGGTGGTCTCCCCCTCATTTGGCTAATTCAGTGTAAAATGTCTCCCTTTTGTGATGTGTGTTTATTTCAGGTTCAAGGGATAGTGGAGAAGTACAAATTACCCAACATTTAATTACCCAACATTTTGGTGGAGAATGCGGGCATGCAGAGCTGGTGAGCTGAGGGCTTTGTCTGGAGCAGAGTGGGGGAGGTTTCCGGGTGGCTCCATGGACGGGTTTTCAGCGCCCAGCTCTCGCATGACGATTCAGGGTAATGGAAATTACGAATAATCAATCTACTCTCTCTCTCTGTCTGTCGTTCTTTAAGGTAATATGGGATAAATGAAAAATTACCTATCATTTGGTGGCCCGTACGGGGAGGCAGAGCAGTCGGTGGGAAGCTGACTTCGGGGAGCCGTACAGGTGCCACCAGGGACGAAATTTTGATTTCAGAAGTGGGGGGGACACAGCAGGCTTGTGCGGATTTGGGGTGGGGGGTGTTATTTAAAGACCCCTTGACACGTCACGTGCCCATCTCAATAATTTTTCCATCCTCTCTCTCTCTCTTTCTCTCTTTCTCTCTCTCTCTCTCTCTCTCTCTCTATATATATATATATATATATCAAAGTTAAAAAATGTACAACTCTATTATTATTTTTATTTATTATCATTATTGAAGTGCAGTTTTGGCTGTTGACAATGGATAGGCCATTGTATTTATTGTTTTGGGTCTTTTTATTGTTTTTGGTGCAACATTTTCTAACAGGGAGTGAGATTCCTTTTTTATTCAATTTTTGTTTGTTATTTTTATTCATTTAGAAGTTCTGGTTCTGGACATTTCAATGTTAAATGAAGGTTTATTTGTTGCATTTTAAAGGGTGTACTTGCATTATTATGATATATTAACATTATATTAGTGGTTATTTTGGTCTAGATAATGTTGACAATGATATCGTTTATCATCAACAATTTGTTGGACAAAATATCGTCCAGCAAAATTTGTTACATTCCCAGGCCTAGTCAAAAGTATAAAAATTATTTATACATAAACGGTCCCTCCTGAGATCTGGCCGTTTGTTCGTTTGCTGTGTTAGAGGACATGCTGAACTAATGTTTTACACATGATCATCACCCTAACATTTGAGTGTATAAAAACATATTACATATGTTTTTCCCTTAACAGTGTTTAAACAGTTGTTGCATTTCAACACACAAAAAATAAATGGAAAAAATAAGATAAATCTAATGAAAAGTGTACATCTTTGACATTAAGCTTAAAAAAATCTGTTGACGATGATGATACTGTTCATTTTTCAGAGCTTTTTAATGTGAAAATATACATTGCAATAGATAAGTTTACAATAAAGTTAAATGATAAAAGTTTTGAAGTTACACTTCTACTACTACTAGTAATAATAATTATGATGATAATAGTAATAATAAAAAAATAATTATTATAATAATACGAACAAATTGTGTCTGAGGAGTCAGTTATGTGGAGGAGATGAGTTTGTAAAAGTTAGTTTTGAGTATGTTTGTGAAGGAGGAGGTGAGTCTGAGCTTAATGCAGGGGTGTCACATGTTCCAACTTACGTTTTGACTTTGAAAGAAGTCTCTTATATCCACTTTTCGTTTTCTTGACATGCTGCCTCCTGGCTGTGCCTAACTACCAAAGACTCACAAATGAACACTTATTCAAATGTTATGTAATGGAAGCTGAGCTGAGCTCTGATATTACACAGCGTCTAGTTGACGATGTGACTCAGTACCGGTGTTCCCTAGCGGCTCCAAACTAGCAAAACAACGTGAGCACGTTCTGACTGTTTACAACTTGAGTGACAGCAGCAACAGCCAATAATACGTTAGCAAGTATCAGCAGAGCCAATGGATTAGCTTTTGGGCAGGTCTAATAGTAAACCGGTTTCCGTTTCGGTCCTAGTGCTCAACCAAATCCATTTAATGGAGCGTAACATTGTTTTTGGACGGAAAAAAGTGCAGGGGACCAAAACTGCCTTTTGAAAAAGTGGGGGGGACATGTCCCACCCGTCCCCCCCCAAAATTACGTCCCAGGGCGCCACTTACCTCCATCAAAGCCCGGGGACCTAAAATTGTTTCACCGGCCGGCCTTTTAGCCTTGCAGGCAGATTCCAATTCAAGCTCTCGCCTTCCCGAACTCAGGACGAATGTACCACGCAGAGGAGAGTAAGTACTTCATTAATTTGCACCTTTTTCCTTAAAGGCACAGTCTGTAAGATTTAAATGTAGAATAACTTTAAAAATGTTTGATTGTGACCATCTGACCCAATTTTATTAAAAAAGTAAATAATCTTTAAAATTTCAATTTTCTCCTAAGTCCCTCCCCTGCCCTGTAGAGCTCAGCCAATATTTCTGCAAGCCTAACGCGTTGACCAATAGCGCTGCGTTACCACCAGGGTGCAGCTGTCAATCATCGAGCACGAGCAGGTCTCAGCGTGCACAACAGTGTCACGCGCCTCACTCGGCTTACTGCAGAAACATGGAGCAACAAAACCCCAAATTACTGATTCCTTGACTGCCTTCCACATCTCAAAAAAAAATTTTTTTAAAGTTTGAAAAGCCCTTCTTCAAAAGTGGCTGTAAGACGTTTAAGACAGTCGAGTAGAATTTACATTGGAGATTGTTTTAACGATGGAGAGATTTTCGTGATCTACACGGCCTGAAAACGGATGAAGAGTTGGCAAAGTATCTTTTAGACAGGTAAGCTATTTATTGTTTTTCGGATAAATTTACTTAAAATCTTTCTTTCACTGAAAGAAGTAATAGAGCAAACAAGCTTTGTATGCTTGGTGTCCTATTGGCTAATGTAGCATTAGCTTGAATGCTAAGTCGACATGAATCGATGCTAGTCGAACTATTTATGCTATATTTGGAAGAAGTTTGAGTAACGAAAGGGGATTTTAGTGTTTTATTATATGGGAGCTAATGATTAGTGTGGCGTTTAACTATAGGCCATATCAGTGTATTGTTTTAAGCTCTTGTTTATAACTTCAGAGTTAGCGGGGTTCGGTTAGCATCTTGAACGCTGTATTAGATGTTTACACTTTCCTGAGCTGCGTGTTTGATTAAAATGAGTAATCAGCAGTTCATGTAGCACTTGTAGAAGTCTGAGGAGATGATTCAGCAGTTAGAATTAGGTGTGATTGATCAGGAACGTATCCAAAACCTTACGTTTCCATTAGCACTGAAAGACATATTGTGCTAGCCTGGGTGGGCCACGTGTACAGATTACTGTCTGATTTTGTGGTCTTACCTGCGTGAAAACTCCATATTAAAATAAAAGGAATTATAATCAGCTCGTGCAGAAATCTGTGAAGGCTGGGGAGACTTGTTTTATTACAGTGGAACAAAGATATCTGTAACCATTTTTGGTTTTGCTGCAAGTCGGCGAACACTTATGAGTTTTTTGTAAGTACATTATTTGTATTTTTATATAAAAAAAAGTGAATGTAACTAATCGCCACATTTGTCTTTTAGGACATGTGGATCGGTCTACTCCATCATGTGACTGGAGAACATGAGTGGTCTCTGGATGCTTGTCAGCATGATCCTTTACTAAGTGACAGAGAGAAAGACTGGATTCAGAAAGGCTCCACTCCACACAAAGCCCGCAGTGACATCATTCTCAGTGAACGCTGGCTGAAAGAAGTCCCAAAACATTTGAAATTCAGGTACTGTATTTAATTATAGCTATAAATAATAATATAATTGTTCTAAATGTTAAATTCTTGTTTTAGATCTACAGCAAATTTTGAGGCGTTTCACAACCATCTCCTAATGTATGCAAGCAAAAGATTCAGTTACATCCCACCTGTTTACGAGGCACGGATACTGCTTGCTGCACTGGACTACAATCACCACTCACATCGAGAAGTGAAGAGGAGAGCAGATGGATCGATACAGTATGTATTTATTTATTTATATTTTAAATGAAACATACACTCATGAATTCATAATTCACTGGTCCAGTTTTAGTCATTTTTTATTAACAACTTCCTCAGATGAACAACCACAACGCTCCTAACTGCTACATATTGGTTTAACAACATGCTGTCAAGAGGCCAACTGTAGAATCACAGAAACACCACATTTTCAATAATAGTGCCTCCAGGTGGGGCTTACCTAAATTACTTTTAATTTAAAACACTTTTTCAGCTAATTTGTTGTATACTACAAGTTAGAGCCCTGCACGGGCCTAAAATCTGAGCCCGTGTCCGGCCCGGCCCGAGGGAGTGGAGCCTCAGCCCGACCCGGTCCGAAAAGGTTTTCAGGATTCTCTGGCCCGACCCGAGCCCAACTTTTTTTAACCAACTAAATGAAAACAAAGTGCATCAATCCTGACCAATGTGTTAAAAGACGTGCAGGATCCGATCAATTTGTTTTTCCCTCATTTACCGTCACGGAGATAACGGCGCAGGCTCTGGTGTTAATCAAGTTAAATTTTATCTCTTTGCAACAATTTTCACAAGAAAACAAAACAGTTAAAAGCAGGGCTTGTGTTGACCGGACAGTTCCCGTATTTGACCGTTTATTTTGACGGAGAAAGAATAGAAAGAATTACCCCGACACATGCAGACGAACTGACATTTTATCCTACGCACATGTTTAGCTCAGGTGTTCAGATGGGAATCTTTTCTTGGGTGATTTAGCTACATCTGCGATGCGCG